CCTTGCCCTCAGGCGGGTATCCTGCCGCCCTGGCGCCCGCGCATGCCCGCCCCGGTCAAGTCCCCCCTGATGCAGGGCCGCGAGCAGGCCCAGGCCCGCCAGTGTCTCGCCACCCTCGGCATGCCTGTGACCACGGACTCGGTGGCACGGTTCCGCGCGCGCCCTGGCGCTGCGGCCGCCATGCTCGCGGCTGCCGACCAGCGCAACGCCGGCCAGGAGGTCGACGTCAACCCGCTGGCCGTCCTGCTGGGCTACCAGTCGGTGCAGCATGCGCACGACGCCTACCGGGGCAACCCCTCCTTCGTTTCCCTGGAGTCCCTGCTGCTGGCCAAGGAGCAGCTCGAGGCCGCCGAGGCCGCCATGAACGCCGATGCCGCCGACGATGCCGCTGACATTGAGCTCGAGAATGATGACTCGGCCCTGGCCGTGGAGATTGACGGTGCCGAGGAGGCCGCCTTCCTCGAGGAGGTTGGTGTCGACGCGGAGACCGCCGCCAAGGGCGATGACTCCGAGGACAGCGATGCCTCTTTCAGCGACTTCTGAGAGAGAGAGAGAGAGAACCCGAGGGCCGCGTGCCTCCACCGACCCGGCGCACCTCCCTCTTAGACCCCAAGGTGCCGGTGTCTCTTGGCAGAATCCATCCCTCCTCCTTGATGACTCAATGGTGCGCGCATGCACATGTGGCCTGCCTCTGTCCGGGGGTGGCTCCAACGAATGCCGCCCATGTGACACTCCCCCTTGTTGTCCCCCTGTGCGCGGCCTTCGACTGACCGCCGTGCTCCCACCTGGTCTCCCCTCGCTTGCTGACCCTGGATCATGCGGGGCCTCGCTTTCCCCAGGTAGACGCCCTTTCCTTCCCCCCTGTACTTGTTGACTTGCCCCGCTGGGGGCGGCACCTCCGCCGCCCCCTCCCCTCCGCTCCGCTCCCCTGTCTATCTCTCCATATCTACCTCTCCCCTGTGCGGTGGAACAAAAGACACGCACATTCACATGCACCTCCCTTTTCCTCCTCCAAGAAATAAAATATCGTCATTTTACCATCTGCCCCTCTCTTCAATTGACCCCATACACGTGAACACATGTGCGAGTGTGCGTCCAGCTGCACTGGCCGCCAAAGGCGAAGGGATACACACCCTAACACACACCAAGAAAAGTAGCTCAGGTGGGGGGAAGCAACCAGGATGTCTATAAAGTGATGCCAGTGTGTGGGTGTACGTGTACGTGTACGTGTAAGTGGAGGGAGGGGCGGCCATAGGCCGGAACACATGCCTGCTCCAACTACTGTTGCTGCTGCTGCTGCTGCTGCTGCTGCTGCTGCTGCTCCTCTTCCTCCCCGGATGGCTGCTGGGAGAACTGGTCCCAAGCGGTGGGCGAAAAAAGCAGGGCGAATGGAGACCGACCGTCATCCACCAGGGTATTGTAGAAGCCAGCACAGTGGCGCGAGCTGAGAATCTCACTCGAGCGGAGCGCCGCGCCGCCGGGCTCCGGGGTGGACGGGGGGAAGATCGAGGCAGCCAGGTCGAAGCGCCCGCCTGGAGGCTGGGCCACCTCCTTCAGGATGGCCATCACCAGGGGGTGCCGTGGCTCCGGCCGCAGACCCGTCCCGATCAGGAAAATGTCCGGGGCCGGGGCCGATCGGCGGACCAGGGCCGCGACAGCGCGTGCGAGCTCCCGGTGAGTGGGAATCCGAGAGGTGCCGGTGTTCGGGCACCGGACCGCCAGCACACCGGTCGGCGTCACGACCACCGGCACGCCATTGAACTGGACGCCATTCACCACGATGCGGTTGGCCCCGGGGAAGTCATCGACCAGGAAGATGCGCGGCGCGTATGCCGGCCCGGAGCCCACCACATCGAAGGAGCTGAGCGAGGGCCGGGCATTGGAGGCGGTCGAGCTGTCCTCAAGGGTGGCACCCTCGGGGAGCGGGTCCCCCCCGTGCGGTGGTGGCGGCGGCGGCGGCGGCGGCGAGGTGGCCGAGGAGAAGAGTCGCCGCTGGGTAGCAGTGCTGTCAGCGACAGACAGGCGCAGGGCGGCGGAGTGGCTGACCCCGAACGCCCGGACCAGAGGACGAGAGAGGGCAAACATGCCTCCCAGCTAGGTGAAAGGAGGGCAGGAAGCTAAGGCAACAGGGACAACGGGAGGGAGGAGAGTTGGGCACACGGTTGGGGGAGGTTTGCCGAACGGGCGAGAGCACGGGCCCCGATGACGCCCGGGCGGATGGCTGCCCAGGCTCGGTCGGGAGACTGGCCAGGGCCTGTGCAGATGGAGGGAGATTTGCCAGGTGGATGCACTTCCCCCCCGGGGGGGGGGGGGGGGGG